TTGGAAGACCTTTCTCTTTTTTTTTTTTTTGGGTATGGCTATGAGTAGACCTTTTTCTTTTATATGGATGGAAAAATTCATTATCTGATAAAGAAAGTCCTTTTTTTGTGCTACAAGGAATTCCTGTGTATCATTTTCAACAAATTTCATCCGAAATTAAAAATAAATTTTAAAATTTATAAAGTTATTAAATTTATCCTTATTAAAATATATATTTTCTCTTACTAATATTTAATAAAAGGTAAAAAAAGCTATGATAAAAATTTAATTATGTGGTAGGATTAAAAAAAATCTTCTCTTCCTATTATATAAATAGAATCAGAGGAATATTCTCTGAAAAAGTAATTCTTCTTTCTTTCAAAAATAATTTTAATTCATCGTAGATTCAGCCAACCTTTCTGTTTGGTGTAACATTTAAACAAAAACAAATAAAATGTCAATTTGAAAACTAAAAGTATATTTTTTAAAGCGCATCTCATCTGATCTTTTCAACCGCACTAATTTCTTATCTCGGTGTTATGTTGTCTATCCAAAATTAATTTCTTTTAGTTTTGAAGAATCGTTATCCAGTGACGCAAGCTCAAGAGACAATAAATAATGACTTGAATGCATGCAGCAAAGAAGGATCGATCAAATGATGGGGAAAAAACACGCATGAACATGTGGCTTACGAAATGCGAATCCTTACTGAATATAAAGCCAAGATGACATGCACGTTTCCCATTACAGAGAAGAGGCGTCAATTAATACAATCTTGCTTATTATGAATAACGAACTGTACGTACGCAGCATTAGAAAAGGCGAGGTGGTAAGCTAAGGCTGGAGGAAGCTCTTATTCTGAAAGCACGTTATGCGAAGGTGGGGCGGATGTTAAAGTGTATTTTCTACGTCATCTCAACAACTTGCGACGCACGCTTCTTCCTGGCCTCCGCAGCCTCAACATCGTCATACAAGGAACTCGCATACTTGGAAACGGAGCTGTCAAGCTTGTCACCCTGGCCCCATATAGCATACGCTTCTTCCCCGTGAGCAGCCTCATCCCCTATCTCCATATCCTCCTCCGACATCCTTAAAGGCATCAACAGTCGAATGAGCAGACATATCAAGCTGGTGGAGATGACATTGAGCAGCGTGACGTACAAGATGCCCAGGAGTTGGACCCCGACCTGTCGGAACCCGGTTCTGGAGTCGTTCATTTGGAGACCGTAGAAGAGGCCCACGTATTCGTTGTAGGCGCCGTAGAACAGAAAGCTGAGCTTAGGCTCGGCGAAGAGGCCCGACAGGATTCCTCCGAGAGACCCGGCGATGGCGTGAGTGTGAAACACGGCCATAGTGTCGTCCACCTTCTGGAGCAGCTTGGATCTCTTGTGGACCACCATCATGGTCACCCAGGGAATGGAGCCGGAGCATATGCCCATGAGGATGGCAGCCCATCCCTGCACAACACCTGGAGAAGAAGCGAATGAGGATGGAAGGAAGGAAAGAAGGAAGAGGTTCGAATTCGATGATGTCTTAAGATATTACCTGCGGCAGGGGTGATGCAAACGAGGCCGGTGATCATGCCTTGAACCGCACCGATGACGGAAGGCTTGCGGAAGAAGATGACGTCGAGCACGACCCAGGTGAGGAGGCTGGTGGCAGTGCAGGCGTGGGTGTTCAACACGGCCAAGGAGGCGTCCATGCTCACCGAGTAAGGGTCTCCTCCGTTGAAGCCGGTCCAGCCCATCCACAGCAGTCCCGCTCCTGCCAGCATCAGCAGTATGTTGTTGGGAGGAAACCTTTCTCGGTCCTTGTTTAGCCTCGGGCCCACCTGCACGTACGGCACCGAGTCATCATTATTATTAATTTATTTCCAGCCAGCCAGCCAGCCAGCCAGCCAAGCTGTTTTGTTTATTAATCTGGTTCTCGGGGTGGGGAGGGTGTGCTTCATTACCCAATATGCTGCGGTGAATCCCGCGACCCCGGAGGAGAGATGGATGACGTATCCTCCGGAGTAGTCTATCAAGCCCATCTTGGACAGAAACCCATTGGGACTCCAGATGCTAAAAGCTGTGAAGGTGTAGGAGAAGGTGAGCCAGAGAGGCACGAACAGCATCCATGCGTAGAAATTCATGCGGCCCAACAGGGCCCCCGCGATCAAGATCAAAGTGATGCACGCAAATACACCCTGGAAATACATCATCGTGGCGTTTGGGAACAGTCCCAAAAAAGCCGGCTTGAAGAGGTAATTCTCGTCCACCGACAGGGCAGGCTTTCCCCAGAACGGAACGAGCTTGTCCCCGAATGACAGCCTGTAACCCCATGTCACCCAACACACGAAAACACACGCAAACGCATAGAGCGACATGAATGCTGAATTCACTGCCCATTTCTTCTTCACCGCTCCTCCGTATAAGATTATGAGGCCCGGCACGCTTTGCATCCCCACCAGTGTTGCGGCTGTCAGCTGCCATGCATTGTCTGCTTTGTTCATCCAGTCGGGGCTTGCTGGGGAGGATGCCAGGTTTGACGGAAGTGCCATTCTTACTTGTTCTTTTTAATCCCCCTCGATCCGCCTACTATTAAGCCTGGTGCTACAAAAGAATGTGATTCATTAGTGCAGGAAATGGTTCATGAGAACTGGGGTTTTATATGTAGGACTCCACTTTTGATTCTCACGCCTTGCTGTTCTCCAATCCCCGTCTTGCTTTGTCTTAGGCCACTTCGCTGCTAATATTATTGTTTACATGCTGGCGGGTATTCCAAGCATGTCTCTTAACGGTATATTCTATGCTTGCCCATTGGTGAATTCATGTTGATTATTGCCAATTTCAGATAAACAAGCATTCATCCCTTGTTGTCTGCCATCCCAACTTTTTATATTTCATATACGAGTTGTCCCCTCTGTTCTAGATTCAGTACAGTGTGCAAATCATCATTGGATTATATATATATATATATATAATGTAGTCTTGCTTTTAATGCATTAACGAGGGTCCACACTTGTTGAATTGTCTTCTTAAATTCATGTGCAAAACTGGAAATGACTACTCAATATTGGAGAATTAAATTAAACCCTTGTCAAACTAAAATTCACTCGACTCCAATTTTTAATTAGAAAAAAAATTTACAGTTAGTTGTATTATCCTCGTAGACCTTTAATTAACACAAAATAAATATATTAATTTTATAAGTAAATGTATATCTTTTTACAATCCAAAATATTATTTCCCCAGAAGCCTGAATAATAGATATCCAAAAACATGTTTTCAAGTTCAACATAGGTCTCAACCTCAATTTCTTCTTTCTTAGGTCTGCTTAAATTTGAGTTCAAATTCTAGCCAATCGTATTCAATCGATTCTAATAATCTACATATCTATATTTAATATGAAAATTCCAACAAACTGCAGTATTCATGGAACAAAAATAAGATGACCCTATTCAAGAGTCATGCACAATACGACTCATCTTTAAATTACGTACAATGCATAAGACACACTAGTTTAACCTAAAAACGAAAGTATTTTGTATAGAAGACATCAATTGCCTTTTAACAATCTTTATTTTCAACATCATAGCAAGTATCATCCATTAAATATTATACAAAATAATTATGGGGCAACAACAGACTTTTTTCCCCTTCCTTCAATAGAACTGCAAGGTTGCGGTAAAAAAAAAAACAAAAAACAAAAAACAAAACTGCGAGGTTTATACAATTACAGAACTCCTCAAATCCAGCTGTAACTTGTAACGCTCTATTTGATTGTCATTAATTCCCAATGTCATACAAACATGTGATTCCCAAGAGGAGCAACAGAACTTGAGCAAAGGTATTCTCCTGCACTGCTCGTCATCAACAAAAAATAATCCACGCCCCCAAATCGTATCCAAGAGAAGAAATCATCTGAGAATGAGAAGGCACATTGGCATAAGGAAGTGTAGACTGTAGACCCAACTATGCGAATCATACATTATTTATACAAGGCAGACAACAGATACATACAAGAAATTATTAACCTTTTTGTATGAAATCCAGAGTCTTCTGAGGAAAAAGAGAAGTTAATTCAAGATATACAAAAGGCAAATTTTTCATTTTTTGATTCTTAAAGATTTGCTCAAACTTTGATTTAGACCCAGAATTTATTTTTTTGGTGCGTGGTTAAAAACACGGACCCTTGTGCTTTCAGAATTTTTAGATGGTTTCTTTACAGTCCCTTGCATCTTTCAAATGGTTTCATGTTATTCCCTCATGTTTTCTAAGGATTAGCATGTAATTCCTGTTATTCCAGCGCTCCCAAATCCTTCAACGAGGATTTTCAACCGTTTGAGATGTCATTGACGGCTTGACGCTGTGGAATCACCACAATCACAGTGCAACCAATGCCTCCTTGATGCTCGAGAAGTCACTGACCCTTTTTGATTCATGAAATCACAGAACACATGAAAGATTGAACCACCAAATCCAAGTCCCAACTCTTTACTTTGAATGTGAGGGATGAACCCCAAATTGTGATTGGCAATTATATGAGGGGAACACCATATAATCCTGAGTTGGGTCAGACAACTCCGTTAACAGAGTTAACAAAGAAGAATGATGTTGAACCCTAATTGACTTTGAGAACTACTTCTCCAAGTCCAAAATATAAACATTTCCCCTCAACAAATCTTGGTTCAAAATATCTGCAATCTAGTATCTATTTTACCCCTCGTATTTATTAATCTAGATATTTGTATGAATATATCTCTCACTCATCAAAAAGTGCATTGGTGATTGGGGGATTGAGGTAAAAAGGGAAAACAAATATATTTTTACGGGAATGAAAACTTTATTGATATGCAGATTTTTTTCAAAAACTACTTATATTTTGGATAGGAGGGAGTATAATTGAACCAAAATAAAGGTAGAAGGGCTAGATCCAATGTTGAATAGGACTTCAAGGACTAACTTTTGCCAGAGATGAACAATATTGAAAAGAACTACCCAACATCATCAAAACCGTATAAGACATTCTCTAAATTATTACTATCAACCAAATGACGCCATTAGAGCTTCACAAACCAATGTGATTAAATCAAACGATGCAGATAAAATTCAATGTGTTGTTGACGATACAAGAAAATTTAAACACTCCAAAGTAACAAGAGAGTAAGTAAACGTCAGGAAAACTTGTTATCTGGCACCTCATAACTGGGTCAAGGTAAGCAGTGACTTATCTCCATAAAACAGGGATAATGCAGGATATGAAGGACATAACACAAACAGAGATTTGAAATTTTTGTCCAATTCCACTGAAGATCCTCGTGAGAAACCTATCAATTAGATGGAAGAATAACAAAATTATACCTGAATAGGAGGCATGACGTGACTCTTGCTTGTTGAATCATTGAGGGAAACATCATTTCACCTCAATAGTATCCACAGGGCTGTTTGTTTGGACTTCCCTCATCACCTCTGCCAGAAGACTCCTCATCTGGCATGCTGAAGATTCTCTCCCACCCTCTCTAAGGGATTTGACATCAAGGAATGTGTGTATAATTTCTAGCTTGCCCAAGATGCAATTTTAATAGCTCTAGGGTTGTCTTTAGGCCTTACAAGCGTTCTGCAGCCCAACTAACGATGAAGAGTGCATTGGTTTTTTATTATTGACACAACTCGATTGTGGCTAATTAATTAAACTCAATGTAATGTAATCAAACTTTCTTGGGCTTTAATTATTGGCCAAATATTACTGTAGCTAATAATTAAAACCAATATTATTAAATACAATTCTATAACACTATTTACTAGCCTAGACTGACCATGATCAATAATGAAACCAAATTTAGTTTGTTAAAGCCTAAAGATTGAATATGATATAATTTAACATTAATTTAATATTGAATAGTGGCAATGTAATTATATTATACAGGCCATTATGATTTCCGGTAACCTTAAGTGTGTTAAATTAATTCATGATGGGTTAAGGGTTATTTTTGCCCTCAACTTTAACCAAAGGGTCTATGGATACTTTAAACTCAACTATAAGTCAATATTGCCCCTCAATGTTAGAAATTCTCTATCTCGATATCCCTGACATTATTCACCCATTATGTGGGTCCCATTGTGCAATATTTTACAATAAAAAATATTTTAAAAAATCAAGTGTGGGACCCAATGTGCAATATTTTATAATAAAAAATATTTCAAATGTAGGACGCACATAATGAGAGAAGAGATGAGTTAACGTCAGGGTTACCAAGGTAGCGACTTTTTAACGTTGAGAGAGAAAATTGACCTATGGTTGAGTTTACGGTGCCCATAGACCTTTCAGGTAAAGTTGGAAGGTAAAAATGACCCTTAACCCATTGCTAAAGCCGTGTCTACTCTTTTGTGCGACCATGAAGGTTCTTATTACATTGGCAATGACCTTGGGATTACAATGACAACATCTAGCCATATCTAGCAATATATCACCGTCACCTGAGTGATCAGAATTTCCATGACTCAACAAATCTAATCCATGACTAAAAATTCATGTTCCTTATTCTCTTTTGCCCAAATATCCAGATTAAACTTGAGTCATGGAATGTGCCATCTTTATGATTCAACCTACATTTTTTGATCCTAAGTAGACTACTCAAAACTAAATGAATCAATATCACGGTTTCATTCATTTGAGTGCAATCATGCATTTCTTTTTCTTTTTTTCCCTTTCTTTCTTTCTTTCTTTCTTTTCTTATAACCCACAGTCATGCATTTCCTACCTCTACCAAATCATGGAACCCACAGATATCACTTATGATTTGCGATTCATTCAAACACTGCCTTTTAGCCATGTCTGCCACTGGATGACATAAAACGGCACCAAAGTGTACATCTCCTGTTGTAGCAAATCATAGCAACTTCAAGTCTAAAGTGGCCGCGTACATTATAGTTTCTACAAGAATCATAGATGACACTTTTTATCAATCAATGCAGCATTATCATAGTGGGTCAGTTCATCACCCTTGTTCTCCAACCAGCACTTATGTATTGATTTGATATCTCTCATATCCATGACTACGGTCATCAGCCACCATGCATGCTAGTCTCAATATATTATAGTTATCGTAATTCAGAAAAATACTTAGACTAGAGATACTATTAAGAATAACATTCTAGGGGCAGTTATATGTTGATTTTTATTAAGAATATAATAACTCAATTGCTTTTTAATAAATAACAATCATCTCATCTCATGATTGGCTTTTAGGACATACACTAACAGATAAATCAGGGGAGTTTCAATTCAAATCCAAGAGACAAGTATTTGGCATAGTAATCAATCGACCAATAATTCAGGGTACATAAACTATACCTGGGCCTTCTGCTACAAGGCTTAATTTATTGTTCGTTCAATGCCACCTGCTGGCATAACCTCTTCCATGACCCCATTGGCCACCTCCATGCCATCCACCAACTTGATCACCACCACGCCATCCACCAAATTGATCACCACCATGCCATCCGCCTATTTGATCACCGCCACGCCATCCGCCTATTTGATCACTGCCACCTCTACCATCTTGAATATAACGCCGAGGTCGTCTTCTCTCCACAGACAATATATAACCTCCAACCTCAATTCCATCAAGTTCTAGTGCTTTATTAAAGCCATCAACATCCATGAAGTCCAACCAAGCATACCTGTAATGAGCATGCATTTACAACCAAGGTGGGCAATAAGTTCACCCATTTAGAGGCATAATCTGAGAAATGTAGCAGAAGGGGGACGGTATTAATAAAAGTACTTTATAGGTACTATTGCCTTCTAGCCCCCTATGGCTGGAATCCTTGCCAAGGAGTTCAATGTTTTGGATGCAATATCTGTCAGAGTGTGGGCATTCAAAAAGGAGTGGTAATCCGTGCAGTACAGACAAAGAATATGAAGTAAAACAGGAAGGAAAAAGAGAAACAAAAATGCCACATAAAGAAACCAGCATGATAGAGCAGAAAAACAAGGATTTAGCCATAGCTGAAGTGAAGGAATGGAAATCCAGCAGAAAGGGGGCCCATGTATGTTGATAATGAATATGAATTTTGGGTGTGCCAGTAGAGTCATTTTCCTTGACAGGGGAATTGAGGAGAGAAGGTATCTTGCATAAGTGGATAGATTGTGGGACAATCAAGTAAAGAGATAACTGAGGAAATGACATCAAGCAACTTAACAATGTCAGTACAATCCTCAAAAACTAATTGACTGCTGCTTATAATGCCTGAGCATGACATCAGGTACAGGTGAATAATTCCAGTGAGCCGCTATACTATAGTGTGAAACCTATATATTTAACCCAAAAGAGGCAACATCTGAGAATTCATGGCCTTTTCTTTTGGTGCCTTTTGACAGCTAAGAAGTTTGTTTTTGGATCAATGACTTTTATGGTATCGTATGGAAGCATTGCTGATAAGCATCAAGAGGATGCTATTCGAAGTAACTATGGACATGGAATGTGACTCACAAGCTTAAAACATTTTCCCAGTGTTGCACCGAATTTGAGGAAAAAGCTGAATTGTTCATGGTTCATGAATATTCTTGCTATAAACTTTATTATATATATTGATGATGGTTATTCAAATTGACCAAAAATACCTCCATATTCAAATCAAATACCATATTTCATATCATTATATATTGTTGTTATGTTTTTTTTTTTTGGATTGCTCATAAGTATTATCCTATTCGAAGTAATCTTATTCAAGGCACGGTCAAGCACTAGATGTGCATTGTCACTTTTATTTGTCATTTTTCATTGCAATAGAAGGGAAGCAACTGGACAATACGAACAGAAACGGAAAACAACCTCCAGCATTTGAGAGCCTAGAGGCTCCCCTAGCAATACCAAGAGAAACGTAAATTACAGGGCCATGCCGAAAATTTTCAGAGTTTATCATGTCATATCATGTGAACTAAAAAATTGGCCATTATAAACAAAAAAGGATAAAAGAAACACCCCTTTAGTAGAACCGGTGCCATAATCTCGTGCAATTGATATCCTTGAAATTACTCCACAAGAACTGAAATGCTCTTCCAGGCTATTTCTTATCTGAAAGAACAGAAATAGAGTCATTAGCAGTAAGAAATAAGAATACAAATCATGCTTTGGATAATGAGACATGCATGCAATCTCATCCATAAGAAATAAAGCAACATACATATTCAAGATAGAATTACCTCATCTTCTCTTAAGGATGTATCAAAACCCCTTACAAACACTGTTTGAGACTCAACACTTCCAGAGCCGTCCCTGTTCCCATGAATAATAACAAGTAAACAGAAAAGGGAAGATGTAGATATAAGACAGAGAATGAAACGAATTATTAAGATGAAAAAGAAAGGTATTGGTAAATACCTGCTACTGGAAGAATGCACAATCTTTTCATTAGCCAAATCAAGCCTTATATATTGTCTCAACAGTTCGTTTCCATTCAACTTAAGGGCCTATCGTTACATGATAAAAATTCTTCAGCTCAAGATAGTCTAGATATTAACAAATGAATGAAGCACACCATCTTTGAACATTGAGAGAGCTCAGCAAAAGTAGGGACAGAGCAAGCTAAGGGTGTAGCGGCTCAGAAAAAACAATGCATGTCAACTGAAAGATGCATTAAGGAGAGAAGCACCAACTTGTACCCTCTATATCCGTAATGGTTAACCCTTACTCAAAGAAAATAGTTTGCAACAATAGTAAATCCTATGATTACCATTTCCATAGGACAGACTCTAAGATGATCTAGTCAAGGAAAATAAATGAACTGCAACAGACAACAGAAATTGCAATGAATTTCACTTTATTTGAACAAATACTTAAAAAATACCAAGAAAGGAACAAAACATGCGATATCAACTAAATCCATGATGTATTTATTCTCAAGTAAATATGTTAAAAAATACTTACTATCTTTTTGGTAAATTTTCAGTCCAGGAAAAATTTTCCCGGTGGAAAAATCCTCTCTCACGAGGCATAAACCATTCACATTGATTGCCAAAAAAATCAAAATACCACCAAGATCAAAATTTAGAAAGGGGGAAAAATTACAACAAATGAAATAAGGGAAACAAAGAAACTTTTGTCTTATAATTAATAAAGGAAGAGGAAACTATATTCATTTTAGCCCTAAAGTGAAGCCTGCTAACAAAATTTATAAATGAACTTCAAAAGATAACCGATCAATATCCTGAACTCTAAAAAGTGAAAATGTTAAGCCCCAAATATTAATGAATTGAGTTAAGCGAAGCATTGCCATCAAAGACAAAATCAGATGGCCTCATGCTGTTGATTTTAACTAGAATTTAAAGTTCATGAGGAGCATTTTGTTACTCTCAAAGTTCATATACCAATTTTGTAACAAAGACCTTGGTTCAAGGGGACTAAAATGTAGTTTTCCCCTTAAAGGAATGAGACCTTCCTCAAATCCTCAGTAAACAGTGTAAAAAATAGAGAATTTTATTACAGTCTGACAGGTCCATTGCCAACTCTTATGGTTGTGAGAGGTCAGGTTGAGAGCAAGGTAGAAAAATAAAGGGCCATAGGTAGAGAATATACTGAGTGAGAGCAAGAAATTGGCCACTGTGTGGAGAGTTTGCTTCTGTTCTTTGTCATCACCTTTTATTCTTCAGTTTCTATTTCTGATTATGCTACTGTGATAAATCGCTCCTCATCCATTCCTTTGAATTTGACAGGATTCCCTCTTTTTCATTTTATCAGTAATATAGCAAAAGATCCTACGGTGTCATACTGGATTTGGTTTCCATCACAATCACACTCAGCCTGTTTGGTACACAAAATGGAATGGAATGAAGTAAAAAAAGTGATTTTATATGTGAAATGTCTTTCATGCTCTAAATAAAAAAAGTACCAAGAGACAAATACTGTTAAATGATGATAATATGGGTATAACGAACATTGCATATCCCAATTTGCATATTATGAAGAAGGAATCTTTTTCATAGTTTAAACTTTTCATAGTTTAAACCAAATGGAGACTTAAAATTTGTACACGCACTAATTTACCAGGACACCATATTTAAGTTTTGCCCTTATTTATAACATTTATTAATTGCATTACACTTGCATGTGGACTTCTCACCAACACTTCAATGACACACGCACACTTCAATCATGCGTGCACTCAGTTCTAGTCCTTTGGGTAGTTTCTTCACTTCCTCGCACACAATTGCATTTTGAGTTTTTGTGTGTTCACCAACTTTCTTTCATTGATTCAAAATGGTGTGCAAAAGTCAGCATATATACAACAACCAAAAGCAAAAACATCAGGTACCCTAATCCTATTCTTAGCCAACAAATATGCCTAATTCAAACTACACATAAATGCAATATTTGGCATATTACAAATAACAAAAATTAAATGCAAGAATCGTATTAATCTTGCCATACTCTCCCTCAAGTTGGAACATAAATGTTAATCATGTTCAATTTGCTGATGCAATCTTCAAAATTCCTCTTGAAAGCCCTTTAGTAAGAATTTTGGATGTTTGTTTTTTCCATCAGGATGCATGTTGAGTAAATTATCCCTCCTTTGACCTTTTTTTCAATGAAATGTCTATCCACTTCAACATGCTTGGTTCTACCATGTTGAATTTGACTGAGTGAAACTTCATTTACCTACTTTGAGCTATTGGATGTACCAATCACAAGGTGTCCAAGAACTACTAATAAAGTATCAATTATGGTGGGATAATGGATAATTTGGGAAGTTAGAAATATATAAGGAATAAATATCATTTGAAGTTATTTTCTATTTAATATTTAGGATATTTTCTGTTTTGTAGGGTTTGCTGGGAGGCCCTTAAACTTAGGAATAGTGGGTACTTGTAGATTAAGTCAATAATTATATTTATTTATATTTTAGGCAGTTATCTTCCATTATCTAAGTTATGGATTAATAGGAGTATTTTTTAAGAATTATTAGTCATTTTTCTATCCATAATTATTAAGGCACAATATGTAGAAATCATCAAGAAATACAATCCTTATTTTGTTATATTAGCAGAAATTCTCCTTTGACTTTATTATTTGTATGAGTTTAAGACCCTTGCTCATCTTCTATTAAAGATATTCCAGTATAATTATTAATTCATGAAATTAGATTCTCATTTCCTATTCTAATAAAGATTTATCTTTCTTATTTCTCTCTACCTATCTTGGATCCTATCATTTGATATCAAAGCGATTTGATCCAAAGATGGTTTCCACCCATTCCACACACATTCTTCACAAACCCATATTTTCACCACCCATCCCATCCTATTATCACCCATCTTCTACAAGGCATTTTCCCAAGTATGATGGTAGGGATCCCCACTCATGGATTTTAGAGGCTGAAAATTATTTTCAATATTATCACATTTTCGAAGACTTAAGGTTGATATTACATTGAAGCACTTAGAAGGAGGCACTAGTGATTTTTTCACTTCTATTAACATGGAGCACATCATCCTCTATTGGGAAGAATTAGTAGAGGTATTATAAGAAAATTATGGGCCTCTGGAATACCAGAACCTAGATGAGTTCTTGTGCAACATCAAGCAAACTGGTTCAGTCCACAAGTACAAGCAAGAATTTGCAAAATGCATCACTCTAGCTAGAGCACTATCTTCTCGGCATCTTCTTAAGCGACTTGAAAGAAGAGTTAAGAGCTCATGTATGCATACAAAAGCCAAACACCATGTTTAAGGTTGTAAGTCTTGCCCTAGAATATGCGTAAAAGACCCAAGTTCAATTTGAACCCAAGCCCAATGATTCCTTCACTCAAAATCGGCCCAACCCTTCTGCTAGTCCTCAAAATTATTTCCCATGTGATCAAATTCATCTGCCATGTCATTTCCAGCGAGCACATTTTCTTCTCACTCAAGTTCTACAAACATGTACGTGTACAAACCTACGGATATGTCGTTTTTGTCCCCTGCTCTTAGACCAACAAGCTCGATGACATCCAGACCCTCCCTTATGGATGCCGAACACTAAAGAGAGAAGGGCCTATGCTCCCGTTGTGGTGAGAATTTCAGACCTGGTCATCACTGCAAAGGAACCTTCTCATTGCTAGAAATTACAGAAGTGAGCGAGGAAATTGTTCATCCTCTTGAAGATGTTGAAATTGAAGAACCTGAACCTGAAAGTGCTGAAAGTTCTCTCAATGCTGTTCTAGGTAGCAACAACTTATCTGCAATGAAGCTTCAAGGGAGCTTCTTTGAGCCAGGTCCTATACTTGATGGATAGTGGGTCTAACTGCAACTTAATCCTTAAAGTTTCCATGCAGCCTCTTGTTCAACCCTTTGGAACCCATGTGGGAGATGCTGTTATTTACTTATTACTCCTATCTCAACCCCCAAATACACAAGAAAGCTCTTGCCAATGTCTCACCTTGAGGACAAGGCAATTTCCAAGGGGAGAGTATTGATAGAGTACTGATTATGGTGAGATAATGAATTTGGGAGATTAGAGATATATTAGGAATAAATATTTTGAAGTTATTTTCTAGTTAATATTTAGGTTATTTTTTTGTTTTGTAGGGTTTGTTGAGTGGCCCTTAAATTTAGGAATAGTAGGTACTTGTAGATTAAGTCAACAACAACAACAACAACAACAACAACAACAACAAGCCTTTATCCCACTAGGTGGGGTCGGCTACATGGATTGCAAGACGCCATTGTGCTCTATCATTTATTAAGCTTTTAGAAATATTATTAATTAAGAGATCACGTTCAACAACTTCCAAGAGTGTTCTCTTAGGCCTTCCTCTACCTCTCTTAATCGGACTCAAAGTTATATGTTCCACTCTTCTCACTGGTGCCTCCCTTGGTCTTCTTTGTACATGCCCAAACCATCTCAACCGATTTTCTACCATTTTTTCCTCAATAGGTGCCACCCTCACTTTTTCACGTATGTGCTCATTTCGAATTTTATCTTTACGTGTATGTCCGCACATCCATCGTAACATTCTCATCTCTGCTACTCCAACTTTATGCTCTTGCTGTCCCGTTAGAGCCCAGCATTCACTACTATATAACATTGCCGGTCTGATAGCAGTACGATAAAACTTTCCTTTAAGTTTATTAGGCACCTTACGGTCACAAATAACTCCTTTAGCTTTTCTCCAATTAAACCACCCAGCTTGAATTCTATGTGAAATATCTCCACTGATTTCGCCATCATTTTGGATAATGGCTCCCAAATATCTAAACTTTTCCACTTGAGGTATAATTTGATCTCCCAATTTTACTTCCAAATTATTTTCGAATAGTCCTTTATCAAATTTACAATATAAATATTCCGTCTTACTTCTACTCAGACGAAAACCTTTCGACTCCAATGTCCTCCTCCATAACTCAAGTTTGCAATTAACCTCTTCTCTTGTCTCTGCTATAAGAACTATATCATCCGCGAAGAGCATACATTTCGGGATTTCCTCTTGAATATGTTCCGTCAAAACATTTAAAATCAAGTTGAACAAATAAGGACTCAGAGATGATCCCTGATGTAGCCCAATCTTTATAGGAAAATCCTTTGTTTGACCACTAGGCGTTCTTATACTAGTTTTTAACCCCCTCATACATATCTTGTATGGCTTTAATATAAGCAATCCGTACTCCCTTTTTTTCCAACGCTTTCCAAAGCACTTCTCTTGGTATACGGTCATAAGCTTTTTCCAAATCAATAAAAACCATGTGTAGATCTTTATCTTTACAACGATACTTTTCCATTAATCCCCTTAGTAGATAAATCGCCTCTGTAGTTGATCTACCTGGCATAAAACCAAATTGATTCTCAGAAATACTTGTCTCCAATCTCAACCTATGCTCAATTACTTTCTCCCCACAATTTCATTGTGTGGCTCATGAGTTTAATCCCTCTATAGTTAGTACAATTCTGAATATCTCCTTTATTTTTATAAATAGGAATTAATGTACTTCTCCTCCACTCATCAGGCATTTTCTTGGACCGTAAAATCACATTAAATAACTTAGTTAACCATCTCACCCCTTCTTCACCTAAACATTTCCACGCTTCGATAGATATACAATCAGGTCCGTTAGCTCTACCATTTGCCATTTTCTTAAGAGCTTCCTTTACCTCCTTATCACGTATGTTTCGATAGAATGACAAATTTTGTTCTCCTTCACCAATTACTAAATCCTCCAAGTTACTAGATGAATCCTCTCCATCATTGAAAAGTTTAGAAAAATAAGTCTCCCATCTATTTTTAATTTCATCATCTGTAACTAAAATTCTTCCCTCTTCATCCTTAATACACCTTACCTGTTCTAGATCTCTTGATTTTCTTTCCCTACTCTTGGCAATCTTATAAATATTTTGCTCTCCTTCCTTCGTCTCAAGGTTCTTATAAAATTCTTCAAAAGCTTTAGAACGAGCTTCACCCACAGCTCTCTTAGTTTCCTTCTTAGCCATACGGTACCTCTCCCAATTTTCCTCATTGTTACACAAATGTATGGCTTTAAAAACAGTTCTTCTTATACTTGATTTTGTCCTGTACACTATTATTCCACCACCAAGACTCCTTATCTCTCGGACCAGGACCTTTCGATTCTCCCAAAACTACTTTTGCAACCTCCCGTATCTTTTTAGCCATATCCTCCCATATGATGTTAGCACTTCCCTGAGAATCCCAAATTCCTTTATCCAAAAGATTTCGCTTGAAAATATCTTGCTTCTCACTTTTAATTGCCACCACCTAATCCTTGGTGTTACTACTTGTCGACGTTTTTGGATTTTACTCATAATACACACATCAAGGACTAGGACCCTATGTTGTGTCGTTACAGCATCTCCAGGGATCACCTTACAATTTTTACAAAGTTTAAGGCAACAATTAAATTTATTTATATTTTAGGTAGTTATCCTCCATTATCTGAGTTATGGATTAATGGAGTATTTTTAGGAATTATTAGTCACTTTTCTATCATAAATACTAAGGCACAATATGTAGAAATCATCTGGAAATACAATCATTATTTTGTTATATTAGTGGAGATTCTCCTTTACTTTATTAGTTGTATGAGTTTAAGATTCTTGTTCATCTTCTATTAAAGATTTTCCTTTATCTTTATTAATTGGAAAAAGCTTATGACCGTATACCAAGAGAAGTGCTTTGGAAAGTATTGGAAAAAAAGGGAGTACGGATTGCTTATATTAAAGCCATACAAGATATGTATGAGGGGGTAAAAAACTAGTATAAGAACGCCTAATGGTCAAACAAAGGATTTTCCTATAAGATTGGACTACATCAGGGATCATCTCTGAGTTCTTATCTGTTCAACTTGATCCTAAATGTTTTGACGGAACATATTCAAGGGGAAATTCCCAAATGTATGCTCTTCGCGGATGCTATAGTTCTTATAGCAGAGACAAGAGAGAGGTTATTGCAAATTTGAGTTATGGAGGAAAACATTGGAGTCGAAAGGTTTCCGTCGAGTAGGAGTAAGACGGAATATTTATGTTGTAAATTTGGTAAGAGACTATTCGACAATAATTTGGAAGTGCAATTGGGAGATCAAATTATACCTCAAGCAAAAAATTTTAGATATTTGGGAGCCATTATTCAAAATGATGGCGAAATCAGTAGAGATATTTCACATAGAATTCAAGTTGGGTGGTTTAATTGGAGAAAAGCTAAACAAGTTATTTGCGACCGTATGGTGCCTAATAAATTTAAAGGAAAGTTTTTATTGCACTGTTATCAGACTGGCAATGTTATATAATAGTGAACGCTGGGCTCTAACGGGACAGCAAGAGCATAAAATTGGAGTAGTAGCAAA